ACCAAACCAAGGCTAAAGTGACCTGGCTGTGCGCTGCTGGGCCAGTACTGCAGTGCTTGATGCTTGTGGGATTGTTCCTCTGCCACTTGTCAGCTTCTATTTATTAAATCTAATCTTGTATGAATTAATTACTCTAAAGAAAAGATTCATTATTGCAGATTTTTTTTTAATCTGTACCTGCTGCAGAGATGAACAACTCATCTGCCAATTAAACCAGGGCTACATCCAGACAGTTTTAATTCCGATGGATGAAAAATTGATTACCTTAGCATAACTGATCTTCTTTTAATAACTACCAGATCAAGCACAGCAGAGCCACCTTCCTACTTCGAAGGAGACGGAGGGGAAAAAAAAGCAACTTAAAACCCATAAGACCTCATGCTCACACCTGCAATCAGGCTGTACTTTGGCTACTAAGACACTTTGTCCTGAGACAGGGAGGAGCCCCAGCGCAGGGATGTGGCATCTTTCATGACCTTCTGACATGAAGCAGCAAGTCAAGTCCCTTTTCCCCATGTACTGCACCAGTCACAGCATGGGGTAATGCTGATATAACAGCTGAGGTAGCAAGAGGAGGACAGGGTCCAAGTTCTGGATCTGGGATGCAGGATCACAGGGACAGCTCGTGCTCTCCAAATGATTTGCAAGGCAGGAAGGAAATGGATGTGATGGACTATTTTTCTGTAATATAACCCTTGTTAGTCAATCTGCAGCTGGTAGTTAAGTGCTTCCTTCTCCTCCCTAAATATAGATGAAATGCTCAGCATGGAGCAACTTCACTGTCCTTCACCCAAACTCTCAAGCCTCCTACAAGCACAGCCAGGGTGCATGTGAAGTCCTCGTGTCCCACCAGAGCCCCATGGGACAGACATGGGTGATGCTGGAAAGCCCGGTGGGAACAAAAAGAAGTCTGATTTCATCTCTGGTGGGAAGATCTCTTGGTTGATGGAGAGCAATGAGCACCACAGACCAGGTTGCCATCTCCCCCCAGCTTATTTCAATTGCAGCTACCCATAATATCTGCTGTGGTGGCACACTGTGCACCCTCAGCACTGTATCTTGGCTATGGGAAGTCTTCTCCCCAGCTCTTCCAGGAGAGGACAGTGAGGAGAGTCCTTCCTCTGAAAGCATGTCTCCCTTATCAGACCGCCCATACCCTCTATGGAAGGACACCTCACCTCCACCAGCATGGGGTAGCTCAGGCAATACCCTCCTGCAGGGCCTCCAAGAGGAATGAAAGCAAAATCTTCCCCATCGAGTGGCTGCAGATACCTTCCCAGAAGTGGCTGCCTTGGCTTGTGCTGCAGCTGCTCGGTGCCAGTGGGCACGCTGTGCCTGCTGTGATCCTGCTGTGCCAGAGGAGCCAGCCAGCAGCACCAGGGAAAGAAAATACTCCACTGGTGAGATGAGGGAGGTCTGTGGTAAAATCGCTGCATCTGGACCAAGCAGCCCTAGAGGACCTTGCATCCAGGGTACGGACCTGAATCTGATTGCAGAAGCCAGGCAAATCTGTTTATTTGGGAAAAGAGGATGCTGACAGCAACTTCTCTGAGCTTGCTGACCATTCACCTCACCCTGTTAACAGACACCTCCACTCAGGCAAAAAAAAGTGTTCCTTATGCTAAGGAAACAACATGGAAATCCACTGACATGGAAAACAATCCCAGCACCACAGGGGAGGCAGGGGTGCTCACACACACACAGACCTGCTAAGGACCAGACTGAGCAGCAGCACAGGATGCAGACTGTGCTAACAAGAAACTCAGGTCTGGAAAGCAACTGGGAAAGCATGGCTGGAAACCAACTCCCCCTTGCAAAAGCGAGTCAGATATTTAAACAAACCTAAGGGGAGGTAATTGGCAGGCAAGCGTTTTGATACAACGGAGCGGGTGGTAAACACATGCATAAAGCAAATTCAACAAAGTGAGGCAGAGGGTTTCATTTGAGAAATTATTGAAATGCTAGCTTTCATTCAAAAAAATATTTGCTGCAAGGCAACTGGAGCACATTCTCTCTCCTTAGGCACTCGTTGTGGTTGTCTCAAGGAAACATTTATTGTTACAGTGCAGGGAAGCCAGCTGCTGGAGGTCTCACTCTGGAAAAGGTTATACATATTAATGGTTGTATTATAAAGTCGCTGCTGTCTCAATATCTCAGCCAATTAGTTCAAAAGCACTAACAAATTAGGTTTTTGTACTGTGGCATTTATAGAATTTGGTACAAAGTGAAACAATTACTGAAGGATTTAGCACCACTGCTGAAGAACCAAAGCAGACGCAGCGGGCTCGAGGTCAGCGTGCGGGGCACACAGAAAAGATGGCTCTGAGGAATCCCCACAGCCTTGGGAGCCCGGATCCAGACAGACCTTGCACCCAAGCCCAGCTGCCCTCTGGCTCCAGGGGGCTGGTACTGGTACCCAGCTGACCTCAAAGCGTGGCAACGCCTGCAGCCAGTGGTTCCTCAGCTCCCTATGAGGGCAGTACAGGTGCTCCCTGCATTTTTTTTAGGGCTCTGTGAAGGGCAGCTGGAAAGCAAACACGTCGCACTAAGGCTTTAAGCTCATGCAACCTCTGCAGCTCCTATTGCACAGCACGGAGCTGCCAGGTCCAGAGCTCCCTGAGGTAAGCAGCAGTCCTCTCACTTCCCCAGCTTCACTGAGGCCTGAAGGCTTTCACCAGCCTCTTATTTTTAGTTGTAGAAAGACACACAGACACCATGACCGTACTTCTGCTCAATGGAATTAAAAAAAAAATGTGCGTGCATGCCTATGTGTGAGGGAAGAGACTTCAAAGACTAACAGCAGATTTTTGAGACACTGAAGTACCCCTAAAATGCAACAGCTTGTACATGTATAACCTCCTCTTGATTTCCCAAAACAAGAAAATACCACTAGACAAACTGCAGCTTCCTCTACCTAAAAAAACCTTTTCTACCTAAATCTCTGGCCTTAAAATACTTCAGAGCTCAAGTCCTAAACTATTATTCATCAAGTGAGCAGGTGCCTATCAATGCCTCTTCTTAAATCAAGGAGCAGAGGCTATAATCAAGGTGCATTACTTCTGACGTGTCCAGACTCTTTAATTCATGCTGGCACTTCAATACTAGGGTTTAAAATTATTAGTATACATATTGTTTCAAAACCTCAAAACTCAGACCTAGCAGAGCCCAAAGAACAAAATCACATTTTAAAATTATTTTTATTACCTACTTCCTGCAACTCCTTAACTTTCTAAAGATACCTTTGATTTTGCAATTACTCACTACAGTTTGATTGTTCCCAGAGTACAGATTTTCTCCAAATAATATACACTGACAAATTTTATTCTCCACTGGAGCCTGAAATTCTGAATTAAATGTAATAGAAATATATTTTTTTTTTATTAGTTGTTTTAGTACCAAGTATAGATTGTTTCCAAAAGACGCCCTCTCCTAATGGCTTTGGAAAGCAAAGCAGCTGTTGAATTCCTCCTGGGCTGGTATCAATCTATTCTTGTTACTAACAGTGTTACTTAAATTATGCATCAATAACTTAGGTGGCAATCTGTTTCCTTTCTTTCCCTGAGCCTTTCACCTTAGAAAAGGATTTTTTGCATTCAAGGATTTGTTCAGGCACTGTTGCCAGTGGCAACAACCAAGACTGAGACTGTAAATAAAGCAACTTTATCATGAGTTGAAACAAAAAAAAATAGTGCCAGGTATCACATTTTTTTCCTGCTCCTTTTACATCTATTCCCATAAAACAGCAAATCAAGGAAAGCAACAAAGTTTTGCAACTGCACAAAAGTTTTCGACGATGAGATTCTAATTGTTTCCAAACACCAATTTAAAATATTTCAGACCTTCTGCAAGTGGCGATTTTAACCAGTTACTCCCTGTGTGTAGCATAGCATGGCCAGAATTTTCTTGCATGTAAAGCCATACAACACGTGACTAAAACCATGTCCCCATCCAAGCAGATGGTAAGAGAGAATATGTGGCTTCAGCAAACACAAGCAAAGAGCAAAACCATCACTAGTTGCATAGTAAGTAGTTGCTCCACCAGTTGCATTGCTAGCACATTATACATTTTCTATCATCTTTCTGTTAAGCTTTGCTGGAGCTCAGAAAGGCAAGTTGTACTTGATATTTCTCATAACCTGCATCCTTTAAAAAATATTTTTTGGCACTTCATTTGTATTTCAAATTGTGTTGATGGTATTCATGAAGGAACCTGAGTTTCTAACACAACATTTTACATACGCACTCAAAGGCTGCTGAGACACACCTGGCCTGCAAAGCGCCCCAGTAGCATAAGGGACACTGGGTGGCATCAGAAGGCAGCTCTGCATCCTCTTCTCCATCGTCAGGACAGAGAACACAAATGTGCCTGTTGTGTTCTGATGAATGATTTTGCAGAAAGGCAGGTCCAGTTCAAAAAAAGCACGCAGACGGTATTTAACATCTACATATCGATTTGACCTTTGACAGAATTATAGCTCCAGAATAAGCCAAATACGTTATTCCAGCTTTGGTTGAAGTGAACATGGACATCTAGAGCTTTGGAAGGCATTGCCAGGATCCAGAGGAGGCAAAACACAACCCTAACCTTGTGTGAAGCGTAAGTTCCCTAAAGAGCTGCATATACCAATGAAGACCATCACAAAGAAAAATAAGGCAATGAGACAAAAACAGCTGACCCACCTCAACAAGATTTGCCTTTGCCTCTCTCAAAACACAAAGCAGCGAGAGTGATGAAGCACAAGAAATAATTGCAATGAGCTCTTCCTGGACCCATTAGATATTTCGTGCTGTGTAACACTATGGAAGTGCTCTGAGTTATCACGACAGCTGAAACCTGCAGTGGCTTCATTAACTCTCTGCGGTACATACTAGGCATTTTTCCCTCCAGAAGCATTAAGCTAGCTCCAGAAAGAAAATCTGCTCGAATAAGGCAATTGCACATCACTTCCAAGGCCAAGGCATGGTGCCTGATCTCACAGCTTGGCACAGAAGAGTCTCACCTTCTTGTGAGCTATCAGCAGACAGTTCGAGTGTTCGTGCTCACAGGCAATTTCGTAGTCTGGGATGAGTTCGACCAGCTCCTGGACGAAGCGCACCACCTCTTCGTGCCAGGGGACGTTGGCCATGGTGAGGCTGCTGGCCGAGCTTTCTCCGCAGTACGTCACCCCCTGAGAAGAAACATGGAAACAATCACTGTCAGCTCAACCCTTCAAGGTCAGGTCCATTTTACCCCCCTTCATGCTGCATCTTACAGAAAAGAATTTGGATTTGGGGATAGCCTCAAACAGACCCGTCCCTCGGTGCTTTGGTAACCGCAGTCTGCTCAGGCTTACCCAGCAGTGACACACAGGTCAGGCATTAGCCTGCAAAAACAGTTCAAAGCACCCAAACAGATAGAGCTTGTGCTCCTGAGCTACCAAGGGATGCCTGAGAGCTTGTGCTCCTGAGCTACCAAGGGATGCCTGAGAAGATCACTTTGCTTTGAAGCATAATGTGCCTAGAATAAAGTCTCACAAACAACTAATGCAACAAGTCTGGAGAAGAGGAGGCTCAGGACAGATCTTACGGCTCTCTGCAACTGCCTGAAAGGAAGCTGTGGGGAGCTTGGGGTCGGCCTCTTCTCGCAGATAACTAGTGATAGGACAAGAGGGAACAGCCTCAAGTTGTGCCAGGGGAGGTTTAGGTTGGAAATTAGGAGACATATCTTCTCAGAAAGAGCAGTCAGGCATTGGGACAGGTTGCCCAGGGAGGTGGTGGAATCACCGTCCATGGGGGTGTTCAAGGAAAGGCTGGACGTGGTGCTTTGGGATATGGTTTAGTGGGTGACATTGGTGGTAGGGGGTGGTTGGACCAGGTGATCCTGGAGGTCTTTTCCAACCTTAATGACTCTATGAAGTTGCAGCACGGTGTTTCCAGAGGGGCCCTGTGTTCTGCAGAGGTAATGACTCCCCCTCCTGAGCCAAGGCTGCAATTTCTGCCACCACCCCCTACTATTTGTACAAATCTCTTCCTAACTCATTGTAAAAACAGTTCTCTCCTAGCCCCTCCATCTTCTGGCTGTTCAATCTAATTACAAGACAGTTAAAAGTCTATTTTAGCCATAGGTAATTGCTGTAACTGCCCCAGATCAACACAAAAAGCCCACTTGCTGCCTTCCCGTGGTGCCCATGCAAGGAGACCCAGGGAACCGTAGCCTGGGCCGTGTGGATACGTGTTTCTGCAGCTGCAATGGACTGCACATTTCAAGCAAGATGCTCAGTGCTCTTTACTAAATTGTTTTGAACTTGAGATCTCAAGGTTCTTCCCGACTATTGGGCAGTCTACAGAAACAACAGGATCCTCCCTGAATTTGTGTAAGAGAAGCATTTGCAAATCATTATGCAGCTGTGCACCCATGGGCTGGGCAGAGTCCTATGGAGCAGCAGAGCCAGTATTAGCAGAGACGTGGCTCATTAGGGAGAAAGGAATAGATGTAGGTGCTGGCAGGGCAGGAGCAGCTTGAACCCAGAGAAACAGCATTAAAATACCTTTCTTTCAAAAGAAACGGGAAGAAAAAAATCCACAAGTATACAAATTATCCTCCTAGTCTGTGCATGCACAAAGGGTGCAATTGAGACCCTAAAGAAATGTCTAAAAATTAAAAGGTACAAAATTTGAACAAAGTGGAGGATTCCTGTGAACCTGGAGATTTTCTGAAGACAAGTGCTAATTAAGTTCAAAGCAGGACAGAACTGGGCTTTAAAGCTGCAGAATTTGCATGGGCCACTGCCACTTAACACTTTGCGTTCGCTAAACCAGAAGTGATTCCACAGGGATGAAAGCATCCTCCCCAGGGCAAAACCCAGATTTCTCAAAAAAAGTTCTGCTTCTGCCCTTCTGCTCACCTGAGCTGTTTTTCAGCAGCAGAGCAGCAGCCAAGCACCTAACAACCCCTCAATAAAGCCAGCAGATGAACACCCCTGGGAAGGAAGGATGAGCATGTACACCTGGAAGTGAAAGAATTGCACAGGGACATGTGGGAAACTATGGGGAAAAGGACAGGAGCCCTGGTCAGCACCTTGGCATTGGGCATTGGTGCCCTGCCAAAACCTCACCTTCCCAATTCAGCCTGCTTTGACTCTGGTCTGCTTCCCTCCCCTGCAGTATCACTGCTCTGACTTCCACAGACAACAGCAAAACACTGTAAAACTGTAAAGCCTAGATGGAGGTGCTGCTCTTCATCTTGCATTCACTGCCCAGCACTAAAGTTGCAGCTTAAAGGCTGCCCCAGACCCAGAGCAGACTGCGAGGGTTGGCTGGTTCTGCCCCTTCTGAGCAGGAAAGGACAGACAAAGCCCCACAAAGTCAGGGGATTTTAGAAGCCAGCTGGAAAACTTTGCTTTACTAACTCTAGCTGAAGAAACGAGTCACCAACTTTCAAGATTATTCTGTAATTCTCCAGCTTGGTATCAGCAGTGGTGTTTGCACGGATGTCTACAGGCTGCTCACCAGCACGTACAGGATGCATGGCATCCTAAAGAAGCCCTTGAGCAGATTCCTTCCAGACCTCACCTACAAGAGCAGACAGCAACCACCAGGCACTCAGTGCTCCAGACCCCCATTATAAACCAGTGGCTGGGGGCACTTGTCCAAACTGCTGGGTATCGACTGGCTTCCAGGCAGACACACAACAGCAACCACAGAAGTTGGCATCAGCTGGATGCAGAACTAACACTGGCACCATAAATCAGCCCAAATACATCCCCGGAGGAAGGGCACAGGGACACAAAATGAAGGTGGATGCTCCCAGGGTGAGCAGGAGGTTTGGAGCTAAGCGAGCGGTGTAGAGCCATTAGTTACATGCCTTGGGGTCAGCCGGTGTAAAGAGCCAGTAAACACGGAGTACTCAAGGCTGAAAACATGAATAGACACCCAAAAACATAACAGCATTTATAAAAGCTCCCTCCAATTCATGCTACTCCTGCAATCTTTTGCTTCAATTAATTCAGAAAATACTGGGACCTGCCTGGAAAACAGCCCATCTCTGACTGTCTCCTGCACACACAGAGGGCGGATCAAAATGCCTAAGTTGATGCTGTAGAGAAATTCTTACTGTTTACTTACGAGCAGAATTTATTTGACCACATTAAAAAGCAGCTTGTGATTTTCTGGCCAAAGGCCATTGGAACAATTTATAATTTCTATAATCCTACCACTCAGGGAGAAGTTCATGTTGCTTTGTGAAATGCTGAGAGCCGAAGCAACTGCCCCAGAACAAGTGTATGCAAGAAGTGGAGGGATTTTCATAAAACTGAAGGGTGCTGATTGCAGATTTCCCCTGACCCTGCCCGCACAAACAGCAGCACCACCTGCACCCACCACAGCCCCTGCCAATCCTGGATGCCACAGCACCACTGACTTCGCAGAAATAAAGGTCGTGCAGTGCTGGAACCCCAAAAACCCTTTTCCACGGGGTGGGAAATACTCAGCACTTGTGGGCTGATATGACAAGGGCTACACGCATGGACTGCCCAGAGCACGGACAGCAGCTTCCCACTGCAAACCGGTCTGCAAAGCTCTGCAGCTCACCGGCGTGCACAAGTCTTCCAGAAAGCAATCAGAAAAGCTGTTTTCCTGAAGTATCCTCAGAACCAGTTACTGAATGAAGTGGCATTGTTCAGAAGATGCTTTCCTCCCTGCTTCGCTCGCAGTGGCCCGGAAGGCCTGGTTTGCTGCAGCAGTGCTCGTGCCCTGCAGCCCAGGGCAGCTCCACAGGTTCTCCTAGGCCAGAGGAGACAAAGCCACTTCTAAGCTTATAACTTGGAGATTTGTTATTTTAATTTGGAGATACAAATCAGTAACTGAGGAGGTTCAAGTGATCAGTCTTAGCAGTGACCTCAATTTCACTTAAGCCTTGCTCCATCACTGAGTTAAAGTTTTCATAAATTAGCCCAGCAGTATGAAGCTTTCTGAAGTGTTTTGTTGTTTATTTCTGACTTTCCAGATAAAACTAGTTACAAGCATATTGAAGCAGTTTAACCCGTCATACCACAACAAATGTCAAACTCACTGGCACTCAAGAAGGGCAAACTCACGTAGGAAGCTTGGCTTTTCTTCCAGACAAAAGCCTGAGTCCCCTGAACTCAACACTTCTGCTATTTTATTCCAAGCAGAAAAAACCATCAAGCATGGGCATTTAAAACATGCACTGTCATGTTTTTCCTCTGAAGAACACTTCTCCTACCTGGCACCTGCATCCCCACCATCTTTATGGCACCTGCTCCCAGCTGCCATTGCATGCCCTGCTCCCAGTTCAGCTACATTAAAGCCAAAAATGGCACATCCAGCAATAAACAGATCTTTGGCAAACACTTGAAATTAAAGCAAGGTGAACCACACTGTAAGGCAGATGCTTAAAGGGGGGTGTTACAAAGAAACAGGCTCATGCTAATTAGAAACTGTACAAGTTTTGGAAGCAATTACTTTCTCGCTGTTAAATTTATGATGACCCTCCTCTATTAATCTGCCCAGGCAAACAATACTTGAGCTGCACGCCGTAACTCAGAGCTGGAGCACAAACAGGTTGACTGTGCACAACAGCACACGAGTCAGGGGAACACTAAACAGGGAAGTACATTAATATTTTTAAGCCCAGCTATGAAAGTCTGAAAAAGACCGTAAGCGTTCTTATTAGAGCAGCCAGCCAAGCAACTAAGATATGCATCTCCAAAGTTCGGCAGTACAGACACAGCTCCATATAGCAATATTTTCCCTTGTTCATTATACAGATTATGATTTGAGCAGCATGAAAAATGGATGACTATGAGGGGGAAAATTCTTAGCGAGCTACAACATGACTCATTCTTTTAATAAACTTCAAAGATATCATTTACAAGCAAAGAAAGCACAGAGGCAAATGGAATAACTAAGTGCTCGGATGGCTGATTAATTCACATGCACAAATCAATGAAAATCAGCTTAGCAGCACACCGAATGAAAGCACATCAGCTTTCAACTTCTCCAACTTCTTAAAACTTGAGTTAATTAAGAGTGCTGATACCACTTAAAAAATGTGAACAGTTGATTAGGGCGGTCATGTTATATTTTTCAGTAATACATGAAGACAGTTATTAAGACATCAAGTATTAAAAAGGAAAGTGGTCTATTGTACACCCTAGTGCTTATAGAA